CGTTGAAGAATTTGAAGAAGGAGTTCGTGCGGGTGCTGCTGGCACGGTGCCAAACGAACCAGGACGTCGAGGGCGCCGAGGACTCGCTGAGCGGCCCCGCCCAGAAGCAGAGAATCCAGTTTCTGGAGAACAATTTGGACAAGTTGACCAAGGTTCACAAGCAGGTACGAAAAAATTCCTAGATTGTCAGTAACAAAAAAATCATCGTTCAGTTGGTGCGTGACAACGCGGATCTGCGCGTCGAACTGCCGAAGATGGAGGCGCGTCTGCGCGGGCGCGAGGACCGCATCAAAATGCTCGAGACGGCGCTGCGCGACTCGAAGCAGATAAGTCAGGCGGAACGCAAAAAGTACCAGCAGGAGGTGGAGCGGATCAAGGAGGCGGTGCGGCAGCGCAACATGCGGAGGATGAACGCGCCGCAGATCGTGAAGCCGATCCGGCCGGGACAAGTGTACGGCGGACAGGCGACGCCCACGCAACAACAGCCCAACGGTACGAATCGGATGAGCATCTCGCAGCTCATCGCCGAGATTTGAAAATGGAGGAGAGAGAATGGATTTCTACCGATTTTTACACATTTTTCTAAGATTTTCTGACAACTTTCTATTGTCACATTAGAAATGAGGCAATCACGCTCTACCGTACGAGTTGTAGTCGTTAGGTTTCGTGAAAATCCGTATTTGCATGGAAGCACTATCAGAAATCTCGATTTTGATCTTAGCGTGTTTCCGTGGAAGAACAACGACAAAGTGTGCGATAGAGCGCGATTTGCACATTTCCCGTGCAAAATTCGCCGTCTTTTTCGAGAAAATTGAATTTGAAGTGTGAAAAAAAGTGGTGTGAAATCCCTGTGTCTCTTCTTCTCCTCTAACATTCTCATTTTCTATCGACTTATCCCAAATTTTCAGCGTGAGACCCCTCTTCCACCGGAATCTTCTCGATCGCAATGGACTTGGAGCAAAATTACGAAAAACAATTCCGATTTTCAGTTGATATTCCGCTTGCTTTGTGATACATTTTTCGCGTTTTCAAATCCATTTTTGCCTGTTTTCTTCTCTCGCACAATTTTGTCACCTCCCGAAAAAATTATGTTGTTTTGGCTTTCTTGTATTTCCCAGTAACTTTTGTGTGTTCCTCTTTTAATAAACGGCTGCTGTTCTCTTTATTCAGCACTCACAACGCATGGTTTCCCTTTGAAAATGAGCTTAACACATTCAACAATAAAACGAATAATTGGCGAATGGGTCTCGAAACTCAACTTTTCGCTCCAAAAAGGTCGCCTGGAGAGCCGCTGGACTCAACTACGTTCGCTTCTCGCAAATCGCCGCCCAGGTCACTCGTCAGTGCGCCAAGGTAGGCAAAAGCGCTCCAGCGCCAAAGTTTTAGCCTAGTTTTTCTTAGTCTCAGCTTTCTAGGCCATGCAAGTTTGTAAATCTGGAAAAGTACAATATGAAAATGTTTTCAGGGAAGCGCCACCGCGAAGAAGACTCCGGCCACTCTGAAAACTTCGAACTGGGAGAACGGAAAGGCCGTCGGAAAGAAGGAATAAACGTTTCCGTTTCGTTTCTCGAAAATCCCCATTTCTTGAATAGAAAAAACATGTTTTTGTATGTCACTGCGCAGTTTTAACTCTCAATAAATTTTTAGATCTGTTTTTTGCCGTAAAGTTGATATTTCGTGAACTTTTCACCGAAGATAGACGTTTTGTTTTGAGTGATGGGGCGGGGTGCTGTCATTTTTCGCATTTAAAACAAACAACCAAAGAATGGGTTTGGTTATATCACTTGTTGCGCCGTTTTGTCTGAAAATGTAGGTTCTTGTTGAATACGCGACTTTAAGCGGGGAATTTTTACGGGAAAACTTAAAACAGGGAACTTTTGAGCAGAATTTGAACATTTCTAACTTTTCAGTTATTTTTTCCAGAATTCCGACGAAGATTCGCGTATTCTGTTGGGTCCTGCCCCGAAAACTCGCACCATCACTCAGACTTTCGAGTCTCGTGACGACGGAATAAAGTACTTGTCGAAGCACGGACCGCCCACAGTTCTCGGCCCGACGCCCGGTGCAAATCCGGCGCCGAGGAATCCGATTTCCGGCGTTCCGGACATTCATCCGCCCAGCGACACTGTAAATAACTGAAGACATTGGATTATTTCGGAAATTCTTCGTTTTTAGGCGACAAAAGTGGCGGAAAGTTCGACGTACGACACTCTTCAGATGAATCCCGACGTCGATTGGAGCAAGAAGACGATGGCGGAGGCGCCGATTGATAAAAAGAGAAAATAATCGAATAAAAGTATCGTCAAAATGACTGTGAACGAAAGAAAAGGGATTCACAAACCCGGGAAATATTATAGGGGCACCGCACAGAAATGGCGCTCTGTTGAGAAACTCTTTTTGCAGTGCAAAGTGGGCGACCTCGGGGCCGAGTTTGAAAAGTTAGGCCACGTTTTCAGTGGAAAATTACTTCGCGGCCTAGAAATTCGGCCAGATTGCGAACAGCGCGCCCTTTCTGTCCGGTGCCCCTATAATATGTGAATCACCGATTCTTCCGTCTATAAGCCGGCCGACGCAAAGGCGAAATTCAAATGTTAATTTTACTTTTTTGCAATTTTTGCAAAGTCCGCCGCGAAAACTCGTCAATTTCCAATTTGCGCTGCAATCTTATAATTGAGTAGGTGAAACGAAATTCTTGGACATTTTCGTTACTTTCTTTGTCAGAAGGGTTACCCTGACTGACGGCGACCAAAAACGTAGAAAGGGGCATGGCCTATCGTGCATGGTTTATTATCATTTTGGCGCGAAATTCGAAATTTAACCCCATTTTTCATGTTTTTCGTCAAAAGTTACCCAAATTTTGTACGATTTCGACGATGTAATTGCATAACTTTGTTAAACTAATCATCGCGCGCACTTTTTGAGCTTAAAACGAGCAGTTTTCATTCAGAAATGATTCAATTGAATCGATTTTCAAGTTTTGTGCTGAAAATGCGCGAATTTCAGTCATTCGCCGATACTTTTTTCCGTTTGAACGCTTAAAATACTTGTATTAACGTGCTTAATCACTTCCGACACTCACTTTGCCTCAAAACTATCCAGATCGCACGGAACCCCAGCCTTCCAATAAAAAATTCCCTTGGCGCGTGCGGTAAACAAGGCGCGTAACGCGTAATTCCGGAGCGTCGTTGTAGAGTTTCTCATTTCAGTTTTCCCTTTTTTTGCATTTTCCCCATCTTTACAGAACCAGTCAGTGTCAAAACTTATGATAATGATTAGAAATTAATAAAAAATTAGATTTTAACTGCTTCGTCATCAATTTAGAAACGTTTTATGTGAAAATTACAATTTTTTTCCTTTTGGAATCGAAAATTTGCCACAATTATCTCAATTCTGTATATTTTTCGACGGTTGAGCGCTTAAAAGATGCGCAATAAACTCCTTGTTGACTGGACGGTTCTAATGCCAGTGTCCGAACGCGATTCGGCAAATAATCGTTAAAACTCGGTTTTTTTCAGTAGTTTTCGACAAAATCCCTCAATTTGGTCAATTCTGAACGAATCTGCTCCGTTTGGCGCTTAAATCGATGCTTTTAACTCAGACAATCGACCTACGGTTCGCAAAGAACAAAATGTGAGTGTTTATTAAGAGAAAAAGGAAAGAATTCTGGTTTTCAATTGAAAAAAGAAACTCCGAGTCGACAGTGGATGCAAGCGCGCCCCATTGACAACTCGCTTGCGCATTGGAATGCTGGGGTTCCGTGGATCGGCCGGTAAGAAAATTCCGAAATTGCGGCGGCGATTGGCTGCGGAGGTCGTATTGCGAAATATGCCAAAAACGTCTCAAACGCGGCGTTTTCACGAAAATTTCGATGTTTTCTCTCTTTAATGCCTTCTTTCGTCGATATCAAACACAAAAATATCGGAAAAGTGCTGGAATTGCGGCAATTTTCAGAAAAAGCGTCTTAGATTAGGCCACGCCCCTTTCTACACTTGAATTTCGTCGTTACCTTTAAAACTTCCACGTTTCACGTGTACTCACATAAGTTCCGAATGCTCATGAACACATGAAGGTTAAGTACATCGCAAAGTACTTGTACAAAAAAACGGATTTCATTTCAAAGTACTCAACACAACTCGAACAAAGTAATCAATCGATCACCCGTACAAACTACGACCACATTCTATCACAAACACACACACAAAAAATCGCATCTTAATCATGGCATCGCGAAACCGCCTGGACAAGACCCGTATACGAAATTCACACAGAAAAACATGAAAGTCGGGGAAAAATACAAAAAGTGGGAGGGCGGAGAGTTACCGGTTTCGAGGAACAGAGTGTAAAACTTTTGAGACGAGTCGGCAGGGGTGGGGGGGTGATATTTACACACAAAAAGTTTGAAAATGTTGAACACCGGGGCGGAACGAAATTAGGAGCAAAGAAGTGTATAACCGTAGATATACAAACGATGAAATGGGCAAATGTTGTCGTGGATTTCGTGGGCAGGGGGGAAATTTGCAAAAAAAAAGAAAAAAAAAGAACCTAAAAAGTGGCGTAGCCTAAGAGGACGAAGTACACGGGTTTTCGGAGAATCGTACATGCCCTCGTTCGAGCTCTTGTTCGTCGTGGACGGTGTCGAATGAGGTTTGACTCCTGAAAACACGTTTTTTTTTCGGGGTTTTTGTGTGAACACTTTGATTGAGGTAATGGGGATGGGTAGGAGAATTGATTAAGCAATCCGATCACCGAGGTAAAGCCAGAAACCAGACATTACAAAAAGAGAAATTTTACGTCAAGTCGTCCGATGCAAGTGTTGAGAGAGTCGGAGTGGGCGTGGGCCATCTACTACACACGCTTCGTGTCAAGAATTATCAATAGAGAGCAAAGGTGTGCCGACTTACCTTAGGGAAGCCGAGCTGGCGCTCGATTGACACGTGCTCGTTCGCGATTGGAACCCGCTTGAGGCGCCGGTTTTGTCGCTGTGCACGTCGGACTTGTCGCGGCTCGAATTTGTGGTCTGGAAATTGAATTTCAATTGACTTATCGAAAAGTTCGAATCATTTCAAGATCACTTACATTTGTACCGAACGCTCCAATCTGAACACCTTGCAGTGCGGGACCACCGCCGCCGGGCAGTTTCTTCCATTTCGGACCCACGTGCTCGTCCAGACTCGCGTCGAGGAACGTGGAAAGTGTGTAGATGCGCCAGTGCTCACAAATGCCCAGACCGAGACCGCACAGAACGCAAAGAATGCCTGAACCGAGTTGTTTTTCCGCGAAAATGTGCATGGAATTGCGGTTACCCATGGCGAAGATGAGGTAGAAGCAGAACGAGAAGGTGGCCGTCAGGTCGACGCGTTCGAAATTCTCGCCGGTGAACGCGATGCGAAGTTCGCACGGCGAGAGAAGAAGGTAGACGAGGCAGGCGACGAGGCACGAGATGCCCGTGGCCAGGATCGACTGAAAACCGACGTGTTTAACGGGCTTATTTCGTTGAAAATTTCAGCATTTTTCCATAAAACTAGAACGGTTCATTCAAAGCGATATAGCTCAGCTGCGAGTAGAGATTTCAAAAAGTTGTCAACTGGCAAAATGTACAAAACATCTTTGCGAACAATTTATCAGTTGACAACTTTTTGAAATCTCTACTCGCAGCTGAGATACATCGTGTTGAATAGTCGGCTTCCGTTTCCCCCAGTACCTTATAAGCGTAATGCGGGAGCAACAAAAGGAGCACTCCGGACAGGGCCCAGCAGGCGAACGCAAACCAGACGGCCGCGTGCGTGTAATGTCCGGCCACGCGGTAGTGCCGGCCCCAATCGAAAGCGTCCTGGTTCAGCGAAAAATACTCGAGCACGCTGAGCATCGGGTACGGCAGTCCGTGCTCCAGACCGTGTTTCAGCGCCTCGGCCATCGAAGAGACTGCAAAAACTCGCGGGGTTTTGGGGGGAAAATGCGGAAAACCCACTTCCAGAAATGTCGAATCCCTCGTTGTAGTACAGCTTCGTCATGTCAATACCGTCGTTTGGAGACAGTAATCGTTCGACTGCAAAAATCGATAATTCAAATCGCACTCGTTCTTCCATTGTTTTTCTAGCAATTCTAGGCCACAAAAACGCGCGACTTACACTTGAGAGTGACATTCACTTTTTGCAGTCCGATCTCGACGCCGATCCTGGCCAGTATCCGTTCGTTGGAATGACCGCGGAATTGCGTGTAAATCATTTGCGAGCCGGACGCCCAGCACGGCCAAAAAAGCGACGCGATGAGGGAGGCGCCGACGACGAGCATCAGAATGTACGTGACCGTCGTGATTATTCGCTTCCGTCGAACGCCCGGCAAGATGAGGAGGTAGGCGATGAACGGAATGAGGAACACGGAGAACACCTGCAAATTTCGAGTATTTTTGTTTTTAAACTAAAGCGATCACTACACGGCCAATTGCAAAAAAAAAAACGGCGGGAAAATTTGAAAGAGTTCGGCCGCGTAGTCTTTGGAACCTCGTGTCCCATTGAATCGATTGGGACCGGACATGGAAATTAGAGCCTCAAAAGTGTCTAGACAGTGCCCAAACAATTTGTACTTTTAGTACTAGAATTTGGAATTGTCGAAAGAAAATGGGCAGAGTTTAGTGAGAAAATCGACAGTTTTCACCTAGAATTTATTTGGTCCTAGGTTTTTTCGTCAAATTTCACTGTCTCTTCGCAAATTTAGCACAGAAATCCGAAAATTCCAAACAATTTTGAAACATCTGAAGCTGTAGGAACACCGCGAATATGCTCGCCCTGGAAGCCGGGTGAAAAAGTGGCGCGCGTGGCGCAGTTGTGGAACTTTCGGCTATCAATAAAAAGGACGTTTTGGTTCGCTCCCCGATGGTGTGAAATGTCTTTTGCCTCTTTTTTCTTTGCTAGTTGCAAAAGAGCGAAAAACTTACGACGAAAGCGTGCATATTAAAGTTGGGAATCGCGGCATTCGGATAGTCAGAAGGACTCGGATTGCCGCCGAACCACCACATCTTCTCGCTGCTGTCGGTTTAAAAAGTCGTCGTTTCGATGATGGTTGTCTCTGAAAACGAATGACGTTTTTAATGGAATTTGAGCAATTTATATACATATTGTGTGTGTGTGTGTGTGTACGTGGGGGTGGTCAAAGGTAAATAAAAGGGGCGGGGTCGCAAAAATTGATGTTTGTGTACTTACGCTTATCAACCGCACAAAAAATGACGGAAAACAACGAAAAATAGGTTAAGAAGAGAAAAAGTATGAACGGGGTAAACAAAAACATTTGCTTTATATATATGCAAAAAAGGAAGTATTTATATTTGTATTTATATCAACGTTTACAATATTTGATACCTCCCTCACACAGAGCAAATAGTAGCTACTGACGGATGAAAATAGGAAGCGAAACTGGAAGAGAACTTGCAAATATTTATATTGATGGGTGAAAAAAGTGAAAAGTTTGCAGGCTCCTACTGCACCCAAATCGAAAGTTTCGATCTTTAGGACGTCGGATTGGCACGGTTTGAGAACATTTTTGGTGCAATGAAAGCAGCGCCAGAGCAGGGCGCGAGGGTGTCGCGCGTGGTGCAGTTGAAGAGCTATTGCGTAGCAGAAAGACGGTTTTTGGTGGTTCGATCCCTGGTGGGGTCAAAACACTTTTTGTCAGCGTTTATCCTCGTCTAGACTCAAAGTCTGGTTGACCGTAATCCGAATTGTCTCAAAAATAGATCACAACAAATTAGTTGCGTCTCGAGAAAGTAAACAGAGAAACCGAAACAAACCAATTGGTAGAGAGAGAGAGAGAGAAAGAGAGAGATGAAGAGAAAGAGGAAAGCGAAAGTTTGCGGTTTTGTAATAGGGCCTAAAAGGTCAAAGCTATCGCCTATCAGCGAAAGACGAAGAAGAAGAAGAAGAAGAAGACGTCAACGTCTTCCACTTCTTTAGATACACCTTTTGTTTTGATATTATATGGAAAACTAAAACGTGTACGCTGTTTGGTTTGGTGATGGGGAGAAGGAGTAGGAGAAGAAGAAGAAGAAGCATGTTTTTGACAAGTTCTTGAGGGAACACACTTGATGGACTCGGGCATGCAACTTTCGAACGAATCGAAAAGAAATGAGCGAAACCGTATTCTTTTTGGTTATCTCGTTGACGAATCTGGTTGGATAGTTGTGTACTTATCTCATTTGGTTCCACCTCTCTCTCATCGAATGTCACAAGAATTTCAGAATTTCAAGATCATTTCCAAAGATATTGGCGTCGACCCGAAAAGAGAGACTAGATCAAGATGAGTCAAGGTCGGAAAAACGGTGACGGAATTTCGGAATTTTGTCGCCGAAACCTAGAGAACGAGGGAGAGAGAGAGAGAGAGAGAGAGAGAGAGAGAGAGAGAGAGAGAGAGAGACGGAACAAGGAAGGAAGCAAAAGAAGAAGAGGAGGCAGATGGGTAGCTAGTATTTTATTTTATCAGAAGAAGACGACAATGACGTCGTTCGCCTCTCCAAATTTTAGAAGAAAACAGTTTTATTAGACGGGTAAGGTAGTTTTAAAGAAAGCAAAAGAGAATTCAGTCTACTGCGGATCGAACCAAAAACAGTGATCCTGGGCAACAGTTCTGCCACTGCGCCACGCGCACGACGCTCGCACGGTGCTCGCCATAGCGTACACATTATGGGTGGGCGCCCTTCCTCGCACCAAAGGAATTTCCGGAAAAGTTGTCAAAGTATCTCTCAAACTGAATAAATCCGGACCAAATTTTGAAGTCGTCACCTCGACACCCAAGAGGTACTAAATTTCAAGTACGGACCCAATCGGTTCACTGAAAGCCGAGAAAAGTTGATCAAAAGTGGCAGGGTTCAAAAATTTTTCAAAAATTCTCTACGGAGCCCACGCTTTTTGCCCTGGCATCACTTTTCATTCTTCGCTCTTTCTATTCTGCTCTCAGACTCTCTCTCTCTCTCTCAGACCACGCACACAGTTGTTGTGTACTTTTTGTGTGGCTGGTCAATATTTACACGTTTCGACAAGAAAAAAAAAACATTGTTGATATGTTGAATTGCTCTGGGATTAGGGTGACTGGTCAGGTACCAACTTCCGTGGTCAACGCAAAAGAATTCGAAAATGCGAAAATGCGATTTCTGATCGTTTTGTCGGCGCGCAGAAATTTGCTGAACGCCATTGGTAATTCTTCACTCATTAGCCGAGAGAATTCGAGAAATTTTCCGGCGGCGTCCTCCAAAATCGGTTTGGTTTCACGTTTTTTTCGCGTGCAAAAGTTCAAAAAAGCGGGAGACAGTGCGGTGGAGCGCGTTTTCATCCGACCCGGAAACAAATAGTCCGATAACCTAGTAACCTGAGGAAACCTAAACGCGCGATTGGCGGAAGAAATGAAGCAAAAGAGGATGGGATAGTAGCAGGAGATGATGAAGAAGGAGAAGAAGAAGAAGAAGGAGACAGTCACAGAAGAGAGAGGAGATAAACAGTTTTTGCGATCTCTCTCTCTCTCTCTCTCTCTCTCTTCCCTTTGGTTTGTTCCCTGTTCGCTCATCTATTCAATTATGAGAAATTGATAAGAGTTGAGAGCTGAGAAAAAGTGCAAAAGTTGAGCGCCGTGGCGCTCTTGTCAATGCCCTTGGAGCATCGTCGCCCGGATGGCATGTGTGGCGCAGTGGTTGCGTTTTGAACTTGGAAGCTGCGGGCTCAGAGTTCGAACCCCACGACGCAGAAAGTTCTTTTGCTTTTTTTAATTTATAGAGAAATGGTCTCGAGAAGAGGAAGAAGAATAAGAAGAGGGGATAGGGAGAAGAAGAAGAAGAAGCGATGCGTCTTGCGAACGAGGAAGCAGACGGAGACAGTTGCGCAACGCAATGATCGTGGCGTAACGCGCGTCCATGCACTTTTTATACCGGACACCCCCCGCGTCTTATCAGCCTTCCTGTCGGTATGTTTTGGAGCAAACACGGAAAACGGAAAATGCAAAATGGAAAACTAATTTTTGCGAAATGAGTCACTGACTTGGACAGGAAGAACGAATTATATTGCATTCCATAATGAAATGACAAGAACAGAAAGAAAAGAGAAAGTGTGAAAGAGCTCGAACGAGAAAAAAGTCGCATCCAAAACGACGTTCATCGCATTTGTAGAGCTCATCGAGCTCTTTCGCTTGCGAGCTCAATCACTCAAAAATTTTGAAAATAAAGCGAGTTGTTTCAAAAAATTGCAAAAAATAAGGAGTTAGCTAAACGGGGGCGGCGGCAAAAGCCAACCTTCAATGGAGTGTGTAGATGTGTACGGGGGCAAATTTACACTGTATATAGAAACCGACACGGGGCATCCTTCACCTCCTCTCTCTCTTTTTCTCTCTCTCCGCTTCATCGTCACTGAATGAGAAAAGAGAGAGAGACTTGCCATTGGTATCGTTTTGGTGTGGGAGGCGCGACGTATTAATTGGAACGGGAAACCTCCACTCAGTGTGTGTGTGTGTGTGTATGTGACACGCGCGCCAAACGCATAAAGTACCAGAGGGGGGGGAAAAATGAAACATTTGTAGACAGGAAGCTAAAAAAAGGTCTCGAAAAGAGATGATCTTGTGACGTGCGAAAGACCAACAATACTAGATTTCATTTCAGACGAAATCGCCTCGTTAAACCGTTTCATTGAGACATGTTACATGTACCAGATACTTTATCATCCGACTGACAGAATCATCCGCACAAAGTACAAAAGTTCAGTTCTCTACGGGGATGTTCGACTGAATCCACTCAATAAAACCTCAAGGTCAAATCGGCTTCATTATCGAAGGCGGCGAAAAATGGGATTTGGCACGATTTCCGTCCGGCGCGGAACACTTTTCACTGTCGCTGGATGATGATGATCCAATTAACGACGCCGCCCGCCGAGAATGGCATTCGGCGGGCGGCGCGGAGAAAGTGGCGACGTTTCCGCGCGGGAACCGACAATCTCTCGCTCTCTCTCTCTCTCTAACTTTATGATACTTTCTGGCGGGAGAAGAAGAGAAACCAGTGGGATTTTGACGGCTTCTTCTTTCGGCGGTGGCGCAACAGGTGTCAATGAGATTGAGAGAGAGAGAGAGAGAGAGAGAGAGAACGGGTAAGAAGATTTGTGATGAGGATCGTAATCGAGTAGGAAATGAGGAAATCATCGACTGGAACTGACTGGTTAAACTTTGAGGTCATCTCGGTTTCCAGTGAACCAATTGGGACCGTACTTGAAAATTAGACGCCCAGAACTTTTAGTGCCGGTTTTTGATTGTTCAGAGCGATGGGGCGATTGTCTGGGCGGAGACCTTTGATTTTAGTGCTCTACGGTCAAAAAATATGCAAAAGTAGGCCAATTTTAGGTCAATGAACTGAAAATCGTGTCGAAGTGCACTAAAATTGATAATTTATGAGGTTTTCTCATCAAATTTCACTGTAGTTTTGCTAATTTGGCACAGAAATCCAACAGGCGACGTTTGACGCCGCACACCTCGAAACGTCGGTAATGTGGCCGCCCTGGGAGCGTTCCCCCGAAGGTGCAGCGCGTGGCGCAGTGCCAAATCTGTTGCTCGTCCGCACAAGCGTTTTGGTTCGATCCCCGCCGGGATGAAAACTTTTCGGCGATCTTTTGTTGAACATCTAGACTGCGAAACATGAAAAATGAAACTGATGCAACCCTACCACCATCTACTGGGCTCCGCCCATTTTTCAGAACTTCCAGAGCGAAGCCTTCTTCTTCGAGAAACAGACACAGAAACCGGTCAGTCTGGTTGTTCAGGTTCGATGAAAAGAAAACATATGGGGGGACGAAGAATATTATTAATAATGATGACACATCATAAAATTTCAATGAATTCAGGTGGAATTTTCATATTCATCAGAATTCTAATGTGATGACCTCTACCTCTACCTGAGAATAAGAACAAGAAGAAGAAGAAGAAGGAGAAGTGTGTAAAGAAGCAGGTGGAATGTGGGAAAGACAGACAGAGAGAGAGAGAGAGAAGGTCAAATTGACCGACACTCTGGAATTTTGTAATTGCGAACAGGTTTCTCACATACAATTCATCATCATCATCATTTTTTGCTTCGTCGAGACGCATACGAAAATTTCAAGAAACACTAGAAGTGTGTAAAAGTATATAAGTGAGAGAGGACCTCGAGTGTATGTTTATGCAAATTGTTACACACTCGGATGACACCGATTAATCTAGGCAAATGAGATGATGAGCGCCGTTTGAACTTTGAGACATGTGTGTCAAAATTGCAGCGGATGATGCAATTTTCGAGCCATTTGGAGCAGTTTAGAAGCAATTTCTCAATTAGCCGATTTTTTAAGTTCAGAGCTTCGATTTGAGCGCTTTACAGTCAAAAATATGCAAAATTGAGAAGGTTGAAGCATTTTTGGTCAGCGAGCTGAAAATCGTGTCCGCCGCGCGCCCAAGAACGCAGGTAATGTGCTCGCCCTGGGAGCGAGCTGCAAAATTGGTGCGCGCGGCGTGGTGGTAGAGCTTTGGTCTATCAAATAAAGCGCCGTTTTGGTTCGATCCACAGCGGACTAAAATTTCTTTTGCTCTATCGGTTTTGTCGAAAATCGGAACAAGTTGAGAGATTTTGTGAATTTTTGCACTCAAAACAGTAGATTTTTCACTGGGCTCACGGAAAACGCAGCGTTCGGCACTGTAACAAGGTTTTTTTGAAAACAAATTCATCGTTGACTAGTGAGAACTGAAAAATTCTCACGTAGGAGGGTCTAGCACAGCTGATAAGTGTGTAAAGTTTGCCCGTCAATTTACTTTTTGCGAACCTCCTCGAAAAAAAAAATGGAATGGAAAAATGAGGAAAAGTAATCCTATTGTGAAGCAGAAGCAGAATGCCGTCTACTTCTCGCGAAGCAGAACACACGCGCAACAAAGAGAAAAGAAAGAGTAGCCGGTACGGGGTTACACACTTTCGGCGCCCCACGGTCATATCAGACCAAAAATGTATGTCTATTCTCTTCTGTTCTCGACGCCGGGACCGCCCAATTTGTAGAGGTCATCATGGGAAAAGTAGGAGAAGAAGCTGTGAGTGGTCACTCGAAAATTGATTTGGGTGTGGCAGTGCGGTGTAACCTACTATTTTCGTTGACAATTCAACTTCTAATCAACCAAATTTGAAGGCTGTTGTGACGTTGAGCATTGAGCAAACATAGTTCTGGGCTCTTTTCGGAATCAAACTAGGCAGACAGATTCTATAGGGTGTTGGGATGAGGTACAAGAAATTTGGTCCCAATTGGTACCGTAAAAACTGTAAGAGAAGGGCGCTCAACTACCCGTTCCTTCAAGACGATGTATCTCAGCTGTCTGTGGGGATATCAGAAAGTGCTCAACTATGAAAGTGTACAAAATGTCTTAATGAACAATTTGCTAGTTGACAACTTGTTGATAGCTCAGAAGACAAATGAGATATATCGGCTTTAATCAGACTTGCCAGATTTCGGGCCGGGCCGGGTCGGTGAAGTGCCGGCCCGGTTCAAAAGGCGGGAATTCAAATTTTCGCCAACACACACCTAATTCTACAAAAAATGGCTTCATGCGATCAATAATTCAAATTTTGAATTCCCGCTTTTTGAACCGGGCCGGAGTTTTGGAAATTTCTTCCCGGCCCGTGGCAACTATGGCTTTAATAAACGGTTCTCGAGTACGGTATTATAGGGGCACCGAACAGAAATGGCGCTCTGTCGAGAAACTCTTTTTGCAGTGCAAATTGAGCGACCTCGGGGCCGAGTTTGAAAAGTTAGGCCACGTTTTCAGTGGAAAATTACTTCGCGGCCTAGAAATTCGGCCAGATTGCGAACAGCGCGCCCTTTCTGTCCGGTGCCCCTATAATAAGTTCAGTGAAAGACCCGAAAACATCACCGTCCTGGGAGCAGCGCAAAGTGAGAGCGCGTGTGGCGCAGTGGTAGCTTTTTGGAATTTCAAACTGAAAATGGCGGTGGGTTTGAATCCCTCGGGGGCGGAAAAATTTTTGCGTTGATTGACAAATCTTACATGTGAGTAAATAATAAGTCGGACATTGACGTCGATCACTCGTAGATTAGATTTTTTTTTCGAAAAAATGGGAGGAGAGCAAGATTTGTTTAATCGAGACCTATACACTTTGGCAAAAAAGGCACAAGTCAGAAGAGAGCAAAGTTTTGGGAAAAATGTCTCAAAATTGTAGTAGAGTAGTGTGTGAACACACTCACCGAAGAACTTGTTTTCAACTTTCCATTATTGTTGTTTCTTTCGCATTGTTTTGTCAAAGTTTTCAAAGTGTTCAAGTGTTTGTACTTGTACAAGTTCCGGATGTGGTCGTGTGTGTGTGTGTGTGGGGGGAAAAGTGTGAGAAGCGGAGCGGCGCCGCGGATCAATAAGTACCGAAAACCGATTAATTATGAAAAATAGCCGGTCATCGCGAAGGCAGGCGACGCCGAAAAAAGTGCCGGAGATAGGCATCTTTCAGCCAAAAGAAGACGAAGAAGAAGAAGAAGAAGAAGACAGTGAGGAAGAAGGAAAGGAATGGAAAGCGAAGATTCGGAAAACGAAGACACGCTCATTTCACGCATATCGTTTTGATGTGTTTGTACGTCTCTCTCTCTTCTCTGTGTATACATTAAGAAGAAACAGCAGGATGAAATTAAATTGACGGATTTATGTGTTGGTACTACTCGAACCCTTTCCTAGGCGAAAATGAAGGTCAAACCTAGTTACTACCCCAGACTATTCTCTACGAACCACCTCCGAACTTTGACCGTTTACGCTTGAGGTGTATAAGAGGCAGAAGAAACAAAACAGAGAAAGCAGTAGTAGAGAAGGACGATAATCGAAAGTGGTTGGGGGGGAATAGCCACTGAAAACCACTATGATGCATATTACCCAAAGTGTCCCCCAGTCAGGCAGAGGGCAGTTTCCTCACGCACTAATGATTGTATGATGATGAGAATGACTAATTGGCGAACCGTTTCCTGGACGTTTGCAGAGCGTTTATTTGAGACGATACAACTCAGCTATGGGTGGAGATATCAAAAAGTTGTCAACTGAAATAATGTGCACAAAGTCTTACTGAACAATTTGTCAGTTGACAGATTTTTGATATCTCGACCCACAGCTGAGATACATCGTCTTGAAGAAAGGGTTGTGAGGAGCCATATTGGACTAGTTATGGTTATGGTAAAGTACCCTTCAAACTCGATCAATTCGGACCAAATTTCTTGTGCATCATCCTGACACCCTAGACTATCTATCTGCCAATTTTGGTCCCGATCGGTTGACAGACAGCCGAAAAAAAGCGGCCAGACAGAATATATTGTAGCGACAAAAATCATCAATTCTACTGTAAATGTGCTCTTTACAAACGCTCAAGTGCCACGAACTATTTGCTCAATGTGCCACAACACAGTTTTGCGAAAGGATTTTCAATTTTGCCGACCAACCGACCCGACAGATCTCGTGTAACTTTACAAGTACTTACCAATTTATGAGTGAGTGTGTGTGTGTGTTGGTGGGTGATAGATCGGTGACATTGAACACAAACTGTTCAACTTGAGAGTTTAAATAAGAGAGACAAAAGACATTTTAGCCCGGGCGGAATCGAACTCGAGCAAAAACGGAACAAAATAGCATATGGCACTACCACTGCGCCAAGCGTGCAACTTTTCGCAAGCGCTGCTAGGGCGAACACAATACCGGCGGGCGCGGCACCGGAAGAGAAATTTGCGCCTGATTTACTGGCCGAAAAAGTTCAAAAATTGAAGTTTGAATCAAATAAATCCTCTTTTCACACCTTCGCCGCCTTTTATACGACGATGCACCATGAGCCGACCTCCTCCTCCTCCTCCTGTTGCTTCTTTACTTTCAAACTTTTCTTCATTTACCCAGCCGACCGGTTCTTACTCACACTTACCTAGTAATTCGCGTTTCACTCTTCTTCCAATTCTCGCAAACAAAACCCACGTCTCATGGCAGATGCACCAGGCGATGAAGAAGGGCGCAAACACAAAAAATAAATGCGAGCTTGATGCCGCCCGCATTTATTGCATTTTGACTCCGGGTCAACTGCCCCGAGAACCGGTTCGCTTCTGTGTGTGTGTGGTGTGCGACGGAAATAGCGATGCGAGCTGTCGGCACAGACCAAGCACGTTTTTGCACGTTTTCAGCATGTACGTGAGCAAAAAGGGATGCGATTTACCACGGCTTTCTCTGACAGTTTTCGCTATTCAAGGCCTCAAAATCAACGTGAATTGAGGTGTATAAATAAAATGTTTTATTGAAAAGTATGTACAAATTTTATTGCAGGGAATATTAATTTTTCGACATTTGATGTCTTCTAAACTGTGTTTTGTGAATAATCTGCATCATGACTTCGTCGCATCCGGCGCCGATCGAGAAGATTCGAAAGTCGCGGAACGCCCGTGAGATTCCGTTCTCATTCAGGTATCCGGCGCCGCCCCAAATCTGAATAACACAGTTATGGGGCTATTCAGGGGATGAAAAAATGATTGTTTTCCGTTTTTTTCCCTATTCAGCGATGTCAAAAAATGAAGAAAAAAACGGAAAGAAATGCATCGCTCGCAGCGTTTTTTTCCGGCGGGTCTCGCAGCGATTTCCCGGACGCGAAGCATGCGGCTACTGTGAGAGACGTTTTATGAGTGGATTTACGAGAAGGGGGAATTTTTTTTCTAATTTTTCAGCGAAATTGCCACGTTTTCCCGCTATTTTCAACCGATTTTCAACGGAATTTCCGTTCTTATTTATCTGTTATGGTAACGATGCGAAATCGCCACGTTTTCCGCTATTTCCGACCGACTTCGCTTGAATTCTTTTTTTTTGTTGATAGTTTCGAGTGCCTTGTCATATCGTTCAAAACATTGAGCTTTTCGGTGAAAATCGGTTCAAAATAGCGGGAAAACGTGGCAATTTTGCTGAAAAATTAGAAAATTTTTCGTAAATCCACTCATAAAATGTCTCTCACAGTAGCCGCATGCTTCGCGTCCGGGAAATCGCTGCGAGAACCGCCGGAAAAAAAACGCTGCGAGCGATGCATTTCTCTTCGTTTTTTTTCATTTTTTGACATCGCTGAATAGGGAAAAAACGGAAAACTTCATCCCCTGAATAGCCCCATTAAATACAATAGTTTCAGACTGAATTCCTACTTGCAAACATTGATCGGTCACTTTGCGTGCCAACCGTCCAATCTTCAGTTTCGACATTGCGGTCAGCATGCTCACGTCTTCGCCCTGGCACCGCGCCAGCACTGTCCGGTAGAGAAGCGAGCGTGTCGCTTCGAGTTCCGCTTCGAGCTCGGCGAGCCGGAATTGCACGTACTGCTGATCGAGAAGCGTCTTGCCGAATATGGACCGATCGCGCGCGTACTCGATCGTCTCGTTGATGCATTTTTGGAGGGGAAGTAGGCCGACGGCCACAGTGACCAGACGCTCGTCGTTGAACTGTTTCATTTGGTACGTGAAGCCGCGACCCTCCTCGCCGATTATATACGTGGAGGGAACCTGAAAGCAGAAGCAAAATAGTTTTGAGTACAAGCGGATGAAAACTAACCCGAACATCGTCGAAAAACAGCTGTACCGTGTCGGAACTGCGCATGCCGAGCTTGTCGAGCGGCGTGGATCTGTGCACGCCGGGCAGGTCCAGCGGAACGCACACGAGGCTCTTGTTCTTGTGCACGTTCGGCTCTTTCGACGTGTTCACGAGCACGCACGCCCAATCCGCCTGCTCGCCGTTCGTTATCCACATCTTCGAGCCGTTTATGAGCAGGTCGGAGCCGGAGCGGCGCGCCGTCGTTCGAATCGCCGACACGTCGGAGCCGGCGTGCGGCTCCGAGACGGCGATCGAACTGACGAGGTCGCCGTTGATTGTCGGGCGGAGGAAGCGGTTGCGCAGAACGTCCGAACCTGGAGTACGTGCGATTGCAACTTTTCAAGCGCGCTCTTCCGCACTTTTGGCGTGAAATTCAGAGTCCGTGACAAAAGGTCGGAAAACCAAAAAGGTCGGAAAGCCAAAAGGTCGGAAAAAAGTGACAAAATGTCGGAAAAAATGCCAAGAGGTCAGAAAAAAATTACAAAAAGCCAGAAAACAGGTATTTTAGCAGTTTTTCCGACCTTTTGGCATTTTTTCCGACCTTTTGTCACTTTTTTCCGACCTTTTGTCATTTTTTTCCGACCTTTTGTCACTTTTTTCCGACCTTTTGGCTTTCCGACCTTTTGTCTTCCGACCTTTTTGGTTTTCCGACCTTTTGTCACGGACTCGAAATTCAAATCGTTTGGAGAAATTCAGACTTGCCAAATTACGGGCCGGGCCGAAAATTTGCTGGCCCGGCCCGGCTCAAAAGGCGCGAATTCAAGTTTTTGGGGGAAATCTATTTTTTCGTTTTTTTTTGCGGGGATCAAAATTTAAAAAAAAAACTACGACACTCCGACATTACGGTCGCGCGCGCTCTTTAGCCATTTTTTTCCAACTTTCGGATTGCGGCGTGTAAAACATTGATTTGTTCGCCGTTTTTTTTTCTCGGAAAAACAAACATTTTATTTAATCAATAGTTCAAAATTTGGATTCCCGCTTTTTGAACCGGGCCGTGGCAACTCTGGAGAAATTTGACCTAAACTCACCAAATTGGGACAAGGCGGGCGTGCTCATGTCCGTCTGCACCATCACCGACATCGGAATCGAACCACAGTCGACGGCGCCGATCTGCTCGGCGATCGCGATTCCCATCCGGAAATCCGCGCCCATTCCGCCGAATTCTAGCAGAAAATCAACGGAATTATTGAATTTAAGTGCATAAAAAGCGCTCACCCACTGGTTTGTTGGCCGCAAACACGCCCAACTGTCCGAGAAATTTGAAGACGACGTGCGCCGGATACCTGCCGCTTTTCTCCCACTGCGCCACGTTCGGGTTGATCTTCTCTTTTATCAGCTGCAAAAAAAAGAGTGTTGTAGGTGCTGATTTGTTGAAAATCGGGTTAGAGTTGAGAAATGTCAATTAACAAGGGCAATTTTTCAAAAAACTTGAATACCGTTCATTCAAAACGATGTATCTCAGTTGCCAGTAGAGATATGAAAACGTGGTCAACTAATAACTTGTTTACTAAGAAATTTTGCACATTTTATCCGTTGAACACTTTTTGATACCTCCACAAACAACTGAGATACGTCGCTTTGAATGAGGAATGCCCTGCCAGGACCGTCATCACTTACTTTGTTCAAACTGTTCTGCATGGCAAAGTGCGGTTCCTCGTAGATCATGTGCTTGAACGATGACGTGGCAGCCGGAGCCGCCGGCAAAATGGACGGTGCTTTTCTGGCGACGAACGCCATTCTGCAATCAAAAAATTACGGTATGAAGTGTATTCTGAACGCTTCAGGCTTATAGGATAAACTAATTTTGGGATATGTTCCATAAAACCGATATATCTCAGCTGTGGGTTGAGATTTCAAAAAGTTGTCAACTGATAAAATGTTCACAAGGTTTCAATGAACATTTTATTACTTGGCAACTTTTTGATATCTCTACAGGCAGATGAGATATATCGATTTAAATGAACGGTACATGCGAGTGCGCCCAAATTCAATACTAACCAGAACTGTTTGGAAGGTGAACGGATACTGCAGCGAACTTTTTTCAACTTTCAATTTGTAAAGAACACGAATCTAGAAGATCACACGCCACAATTCCTGTTTCTGTATATCTCCTGTGTTTTCTATTCTCTGCGCGGCCACAAACAATCGTATCAGGTGTTTATCAGAAATTCCCCCCTTCGCAAAAAAGGACACACGCACTTTCACTACTACAAATGTTTCGTCCTGCAATCGAGTATCGCATTTCATAGTATTCTAGCAATATTTCGTTGAAAAGCATACAGTAAAAGCTGTTATAGAAGGGCACGTCGAATACCGTGCATTCAAGACGATGCATCTCAGCTGTGGATAGAGATATCAGAAAGTTGTCAACTGATAAAATGTACAAAATGACTTAATGAGCAATTTGTTAGTTGACAACGTTTTGATATCTCAACAGGCAACCGAGATATATCGTCTTGAATGCAAGATATTTACGGGTGCCGCTCTATTACAGTAATTTCAGACGCCCTTGTTGACTAAGTAGTTTTGGACAGTTCATCAGTTGAAAACTTTTAGGACTACTATAGGCCAGAAACTTTCAACGCTACAGTATTCCTAAAAGTTGCCAACAAGTGAAATAAAGTATTAGGGGTGGAGGTTATGCAAAAAAAAAAAATTGGGGGGAGACATAGAATATGTCTGTCACCACAGTTTTAGGATCTAAGAATACAAGGAAAGGAAAAGAGGAAAAGATGGCATAACAAGTGATTGCGTCAGAGGATCTTCGAGGGGGTGATGGATAATATCGTTTACACCACCACCATCACTATTATCCGTCTTCCTGTTTCCTCCTCCGCCTCCCCCCCCCCCACTTTTTTGGCGTTTTTCAACCAAAACGAATGGATAAAGGAGAAGAAGAAAAGACAGGAAAACGAAACGCGGAATTGTTCACGAGTCAGTTGGCCAGAAGATTCTGGATTGATTCGATTCGGCTTCCAATTCGATTAGCCACATGATAGCCGGCTTTTCCTCTCTTCCAAGGATCCATTACATTAGGAAGGGAATAAGTTAGGAAGGGAAACGTGTAAAGATGGGTAATATCGAACATTTTTAAATATTCCGGACTTGGATTCAGTCTAGTCAAAAAAGAAACATATCAAAATCGACGCTCGGAAAGGTGACATAACGGGCATCTGATCGTGATCACATCCGCCACGCGCCGCCCACTTTTCGGCATGACAACAAGCCGACGACGGCGGCGGGTGGCAGGGTTTTTTGGAGGGAAAAGAAAAGGATTGGAGAGGGGACTAGTTTCGCGGTCACACTACGAATTCACAACATTTTTATCTGACTCGGCTATTACTCGGAGAACATCATCGGATAAATAAAGATATCAAGGGGAATGAGGGGGATAGAGCGGAGCAATATAGTTAAATAAATAAATAAAAAACAAAACCAGACACATAGAACGTTCTAGTATGCAAAAAAAATTGAATCGGGTCGGGGCGGGGAGACTGAACCGAGAGAAAAGATGAATAAACTTCCGAGATCTTACTACATCATAGTAATCAGTTTCGGGTTTTACGGATCACGACAAACAAGGAGAGAGAGGAGACAATTTTTGAAATTTATTTAGAAGATGTGGTCTAATCGACATCCATCTCTCCTGGCTGCGGGGCTTGTGGCTGATCTCCGGCCCCAGATTGTGCTTCTTCCTTCTTTGGCGGAGCTGCCGCTGTCGGCTTATTCTTGTTCAGCACAGGGTTCACAATGTTCTCGAAGGCCTGAAAATATGAAATTTCTTCTAAAATTGAACGGTGAATCGTTTACATTCTTCTGCTGATTGATCTCCTCGGTGAAAACGACAGGCGGCTCGGTCTTGGAGCGTGTCTCCTGCTTGTGACGCGCGTCGTCCAGCCACTTTTTCTTCTCCTCGATCGCATTCCTTACCTTCTCCATGTCATCAGGTAATTTACGGGAGGTTGCTGCAAAAATCGGCGGTTGGCGTAAAAATCGGCGGTTGCTGCAAATTACCTGAGTAGTCCTCGTAGGCGCGGCGCACTCGCAGAATCACCTGATCGAAAGCGTCGAATGCCGGACGACGCGTCTCGAACTCGCGGAATCTCTCCACCACCGGCGTTCCGACGGTTTTGAGCTCGGCGAGTCGTGCTTCGTATACATTCTTCTCCGCGTCCTCTCCCTCGTCGTAGAGCCAGTCTTCAGTGGCGGTGAGCAGCGCACGGAAGTCGTCGGCGGCAGCGGCGGTGATGAACTCCGCGTACTGATCGGAAATCTTGTCGCGCATCTCGTATACGTACTCCTCCAGCGTGTTCTTCGCGTCCGCCTTGCTCTTTTCTCTCAGATCGGTCGCCTGCATCTCCTGCTCGATTTTTTGGAACTTTTGAACGTCGTAGGTGACCGGAATCGATTCGATCACTTGCAGTTCGACCGGAACGAGCTTGGTTTTCTTGACCGGCTCCGCGGGCGGGGCATCCGGGCTCGCGGCGGATCCATCCACCTCCATCGGCTCGGGAGCCGGCTCCACAACCTCTTTGGGCTCGTACATTGTGGCCGAGGCAATTGTGAACACTCCGTCAGGATTGACACGAACCTTCACCTTCACCTTCTGATTAGCTCCGTCAGCTCCCGGGCGGGCGCCGTTCACCTTCCACGAGCCGATGTGCACTTGATTGTGGGGGACCGTGTTCGGTTGAGCGTAATGGGCGTCCACTTGGAAAGGACCGCTTCGGAGCAGCGAAACGAGCTTCGAGAAGGGAACTTCGTCGCGAGGAGCAAAAACGTCGTTCTCACTGCAAAATGCTCAAGTTTAAGATGCAATTGAGATGAAAATCAGGTGGACTTACCCTCCGTTGTCTCCAGGACCATTCCAGCTGAGACGGATACAGTACGGCTGCGAATCCTTGATGGCAAACTCGCGAACGCGGAACGTCGGCGAGAGAATCGCGCACTGCATCGCTGCTCCTCGCGCAACCGCCTCGTCCTGGTTCATCGTCGTCTTCGGCTCTTTTCCGAACAGATCACGGACAATCTGGCGGATCATCGGAATGCGCGACGATCCGCCAACAATCTCGATCTCGTCGACGTCTTCCGGTTTGATGGTGACGCCGTCCGAGAACAATTTGACGAGAAGTTGCTTGATTCTGGCGAAGATCGGCGCAGCGAGCTCCTCGAACTCTTGCCTTTGCATCTTTCCAGTCACATCCTTGTCGTCCATGAAGCATTCGATGTTCAGTGGGATCGGAGTCTGATTCGCAGACATCTGCTTCTTCACACGCTCGCATTCGTCGAGAAGACGAAGCCATGGACGTGGCTGCGTGGCCGCATCGATTCCTGCAAAAAATATTAAAATAATGCTCACAAGTAGCAAAAAACCTACCGTATTTGGTCTTAAACTCTTTTCTAAAGTGCTCTCGGATGAGGGCGTCGAACCAGAGACCTCCGACGTCCAAATCGAACGCGGTGTTCACCATCGTCAATTTTCCTTTGTTGAAAGAAACGAGCGACGCCTGGGTGGAAGAGTGCCCCAAATCCAAAAACACCACATTCTTCGGCTTCTCCTCCTCGCCGGGCAAGTCTTGCTTGTAAATTCCATAGGCCAGCGCGATGGCGGTAGTCTCGTTGAGAATTCTCAGCGAATTGAGGCCAGCCGAGTGGATGGCTGCGAGAACGGCGCGGCGTTGAACGTCGGTGAAGTAGGAGGGCACGGCGAGCACACAGTCCGACACCTTCTTCACGTCCGTCAGTTGCGCTTCGACGATTTCGCGGAGCTTCGTGAGAAGAGCGGCGAAAACCTGCTCGGGAGTGAAAGTGTGCGGCTTCTTGAGATAGTTCACTTCAAGTCCGATGTCGTCATTGGGCAACTGGACAACTTTGCACGGGATAAATGGGATGAACTTTTGAGCGATCGGGTCGCTGTATTTGCGGCCAATCAGGTGTTTGAAGTTGATAATCGTGTTCTTGATGTTCGTGTTGACTGCTTGGCGCGCCGCAACTCCCATCGAGCGCTCTTTTTCTCCAAAAGACACGCATGCTCTGGAAATTCATAACACTTTTAAAAGATCCGAGTGAAATGCGAACTTACGGAGTGGCATGAAGGGAATAGTCATTGGTAATGACCTCAATGCCTCCTTGACGGGCGACGCCAATGTAGCAGTTAAGATTACCGATGTCAATTCCGAGAACCGACATTTCTTCGTTGGAGAGCTCTGAAAAGGCGAAGTTTTGATCAAATCTGCGTGAATAGTGGTGAGTGAGCAAGAATAAGCAAAAAAATGTTCTTAAACTGAATAAACAACGAATGAGCAAGAAAGTTGCATGAGGAAGGTTACAGTTGCGAAATTTCGGTTTTCTTCAAATTTCGAAAAGAAAAATGACAAAATAGGCGACCGGGCGTTTTCAAAGCTTATATAGGCAATTCGGGCGTTGCGGAGAAGCTTCTAGAACAAAAATGAGCAAGAAATTGAGTCAGCAAAAGGCGTGATCTCGGCGGAAAGCCCTCGAATGGAGTTCAAAGGCGCATGGAATATTCGGGAAAATTCTTGTAAATCGCTGCGAGACCCGCAAAACTCCGAGTGCGGTAGAGCGCGTTTGCATTATCCTTTTCAAAATCATCATTTCTGCTGTTTCGTTTGTTTTCCTCTGTTTTCACTTGTTTTCATCGCAGTTTTTGCGTTTTTTCGCGGAAAAGTTTGTTTTTCTTTAATTTCTTTTAGTTTTAATTTTTTTACATTTGATTTTTCTGCAGAACATGCCCCCGAAAACTCAGGAGCCTGTTGTCGAAAAAATGGAGGTGGATGAGGCGAAGACGGAGGTTTCACCAGCCGAACCGGTTAAAGATGCACACACTATAGCCGTGGAAGGTATGATTCCAACCGGAATTTTCGTTCTTTTGACTCGAAATCTCTACAGACGCAATTTTCAGCCATCAAAGAGCAATTGGCGCAGTTGGACAAAAGCGAAGAGCACCTGATCGCACGTGTGCTCCAAGTTCTGCCGAAAACGCGCAAGCAGCTTACGGACAACGTGCTCTACAAGCTCGTCTCGTCGCAATTGTCGCATGACAACGGATTTGCGCCGCTGCTCCTAAAGTGTGTGACCTACACTCCGCCGGCCGATGAGAACGAAGTCCAGCCGATGGACGTCTCGAAGAAGTCGCCGAAGAAGTACAAGCCAGTTTTCTCCTCGGCAGAATCCGATTGCTACCTCCGTCTCCTCGTCATCATTCATTTGTACGCTCAGAAAAGATACAGGGAGGCGCTGGCGCTCAGCGAGCAACAGCTTCTGGCTATTCACAAATTCGACAAGCGTACCCTGGACGGTCTCGCCGCGAAAACGCTCTACTTCCTGTGTGTGATCTACGAGCGCGAGGGAAAACTGTTCGATCTTCAGTCCGTCCTCAATTCCCGCCTTCGCACCGCCACTCTCCGCCATTTCACCGAAACGCAGGCCGTTTTGATCTGCTGGCTGCTCCGTTCTTATCTGATCAATCGACAATACCAATCGGCCGCTCATCTCGTCTCGAAAGTCGCTTTCCCGGAAAACGCGTCGAACAACGACCTCGCCCGTTATATGTATTATCAGGGACGCATAAAAGCGCTTCAGTTGGACTACACCTCGGCCGCCGGCTATTTCCTCCAGGCTCAGCGCAAAGCTCCGCAAGAAGGAGCCATCGGGTTCAAGCAGGCCGTGCAGAAGTGGGTCGTCGTGATCGGATTGCTGCAGGGAGAGATTCCCGAAAGATCCGTGTTCCGTCAGCCGATCTACCGCAAGTGCCTCGCTCAGTATCTCGATTTGACACATGGTAAGCGCTGAGAATTGTCGAATTTAGCATAGCTGCGGGATGTTTGAGAAACGCCAAATCATTTTTCTGACATGGCAGTCGGATTGAAATTTCCGAACCACCGGCAACCATAAGAATTGAGTTTTTTTTCAGCCGTCCGCCTGGGAGACATTGCCAAATTCAACCGTGTGCTGGAGCAATACGGAAAAGTGTTCGAGGCCGATGATACGCTCACTCTGATCGTCCGACTCCGTCAAAATGTGATCAAGACGGCGATCAAGCAGATTTCTTTGGCCTACTCGAGAATTTACATAAAAGATATTGCCAAGAAATTACTAATGGACAACGAGACTGAGACTGAGTACATTGTAAGTTTTTAGATTTTCTGAATTGATAATAATTGTTCTTTTACCAGGTCGCCAAAGCGATTGCAGACGGCGCCATAGATGCAGTTATCACTTCGGACGTTCGCGACGGACCGAGATACATGCAGAGCTCGGAGACGGCCGACATCTACCGCACGTCGGAGCCGCAAGCCCACTTCGACACGCGCATCCGCTACTGTCTCGAGTTGCACAATCAGGCGGTGAAGGCGCTCAGATATCCGCCGAAGAAGAAGATTGCCGTGGAGACGATCGAGCAGGCGCGCGAGCGGGAGCAGCAGGAACTGGAGTTCGCGAAAGAACTGGCCGACGAGGACGAAGACGACTTCTAGACATTTTTCGTTTTCTATCGCCTCCACCCTTCTTAACTTATTCATAAACAATGGAACGTGTCGGTACCCGTAAATAACCGTCTCGCTGTGTGTAATTTATTTGAACATCCTCCCCCCATCAACTCTCCCCCGAATGAAGTTTCAGCCGTTTTATTTTTTTAATTCTACGTCTTTTCGATGAGAAATGTGTAAAGTTGCTCGAAATATCGTAAATGTCGTGGGATCTGGTGCAGAGTGTGCATCAAGCGCCTGCGGGCCGGGCGCGTTATTTCACGCGTGTCGTTGGCTGTTGGTGTCTTCTCTGTTTTTTGCTGAGAGCACAGATTTAAGATAATTTTTTTCTAATTTTGTATTGAGATAAATGAATCATAGATGCAAAAGATATCGAAAAATGCGTTTTAAACTATTTTACTCTTCAAAAAAACGTTGTTTGCAGAATGAACGAGGCGCGGGCACGAATTCTGGTGAATTTCCGGCACTCGCTGGATTCGCTGCTTTTTCTGCTCGGCCACCGACCTCCGCCGCCTCCGTTTGCCTGTGCGCTCGCTCTGGACAGTCCGTCCGACGCTCCGTTGGCTCCGACACCGTCGCACACGTACGGAAGTGTACGCGAAATGATCGAGGACTTTAGCATCGTTTTCGGAGTGCCCAAATATCGGACCAGCAAGCGTGAGTGCTAACATTTTAGAGTTTTTCAATAACAATCAATTTTTCAGCGAAAAAAGTGACGCGAAAGTTCTCGTTCACGCGACTCCTCCAACCGATCGATAATCTGGTGACGTGTCCGACGTGTTCCTCTCATCATCCGTCCGACACGATCTGCGGCGAGTGCTACAAAAAAGTGCACGAATTGACGTCGGCGATCAAGAAAAAGATGATGGCGTACAATCCGTACGTGGGCGAGAAGCAGGACAAGGAGCTGTTCGTCAGATTCAAGGGGGACGCTCCGGAAGCGGCGGACGTCGTGAAAGGAAAGCGCGTGATCGAGATGGAGAAGGAGAGGCCGAGCTGGTTCAAGAAAATCGTCCTGAAATAGACAATTGTTGTGTTTTCTTTGTAGATTTTCTCCTTTTTCTCTAGAATTGTTCTGTTTCTTTTCTTGTTTTGTTTCTCACTTTTCATGATGATGATTACAGAGTAACCGATACTTTTTTTTTCTGTGCGTGTAGAATAGGTGTAAGTTACCCTTTCTGTTGACATTTCGCCTAATGTGCTCTTGTCACGATCATGCTCCCCCCACAAGTGGTGTTTGCGTGATTGCAGAGTCACCCAGAGACACGGATTGGATTTCAATGCGGGAAAAGTGGACGGAGCCGAGATTTCGAGCACTTTTTTTGGTTTGATTGCGATGAAAAGTAGGAGTTTTATGGGAAAACCTGATTTTAAACAAGATTTGCTCATTTTTCAGCGAAAAACGAGCTTCGCGCTAGCAGCCCAGTAGAGCTACTGTAAGATAAAACAAAGTTGACAAATATCTAAAATTCATCGAATTTTTGCTGGTTTTCTTACTTTCTCTCAAAAATTTTCACCAAAATTCGACTTTCTCAACCAGAAAAAGCGCAAATCGTGTCGAGACGCTTGTCGCGCCGGTCCCCATCGGTTACCGCACATTCTGGGACCGCGAGAGTGATGGCCGTATTGCGTGACAAACGTATTTCGATCTCCTTTTCCTTCTCCTTCTTCTTCTTTCCTGGATCCGTTCTGGTTAGTGATGAATGCGTTTCGTACATTCGGATCTTTGAAAGAGCCTGACGCAGAGCAGATAAAAAATACCATGAATTTCTATAAGTTGTACTTTTTCTCGAAAAGCGGTCCCTGCTTTCAATCGCCCCCAACCCTACGGCTTCTCAGACTTTTGCCCTCCCCGAGAAAGTAAGTCATGGATATAATAGTGGGAGGAGAAAATGTGACTATGAATATTGGGTTTCACCGCACAAATCCAACCGCTCACTGGGACGGAGACTCATCCGGCTCCTCTTTTCCGCGCGAGTCGGGGGTACGGCTTCTTCTTTCTCAGTTTACTCTTCTTAGGAAGAAGAAGAAGAAGAAACGGATATGGAATTGAGAGGAAGCCTTCCGTTTTAATGATCGAAACCCAAGAGGGATTAGCCGATACGTCAATAGATTTTCAGTGCGCATGCCAATGTTTGTGGCGAGTCGAAAAAAAGTGTTCCCTGACTTTAAAAGTCGCATTCTAGTGAGTACATGGCTTCAATTTAAAGTTCCTGACCACCAGAGTTGAGCTGAAGAACACGAAAGAATTTTTATCTTTTTTTTCGAAAAGCGCTCACCGACCAGACGTTTTCCGGTTAACTTTGATTGTTGTCGGTTCGGATAGTAGCGCTCAACGCAAGGACACGCAAGAATTTTTATCTTTTTTAGAAAATTTTTTCATGGAATGTGATCAACTGACGAAATGTATAGCAAAATGAACTCTGCTCATAGAAAAATAATTGTAAATTTAGCTTTTCATACAAAAAAGTTATTCCTTCCGTCTTCCCCGTTAGCCCCTTTTTCACGCAACAACTCGAATAACTTTTTTGTATGAAAAGCTAAATTTACAATTATTTTTCTATGAGCACAGTTCATTTTGCTATACATTTCGTCAGTTGATCACATTTCGTGAAAAAATTTTCTAAAAAAGATAAAAATTCTTCCGCTCAACTCTGCTGATTTGAGCGATACGGAGTGATATAAAACATTTTCACAAGTGTTCCAGTTTGGCAAAGTACCTCTTTAGACATGATATCTTTAAGAATGAAACAAGATGTGAAACCAGTTGGTCTCATGGAAATGATACCCAAAAATTATTAAAAAGTAAATGAGAAAGTGTTGCGAACACATACCTGGCCCGAAACGCTGAAAAATGTTCATTGTGAAGTACGGTTCAAACTGAATGAGAACTGAATTATCTAGCTGGGCCAAGTCAAGTTAAAAGGCGTCCGGTTTCAGGTTCAGGACCAGAGTTGAGCGGAAATGGAATTTTGAAATCCGGAAGACGGCAGACGGCAGACGGAGGAAAATTTTTTTCACGGAACACGGAAAACGGAAGACGGAAGAAAACTTTTTTCCCGGAAGACGGCAGACGGAAGACGGAACAAAAAAATCCACGGCAGACGGAATTCCGCTCAACTCTGTTCAGGACCAATTGGAAAAGGTTACAGAAAACACTAAAATGTTGTAATGGAAAACAAAGTTGTTTGCCGACTGACTAAATGAACAAAAAGACACACTTTATAGGGATTCCGAATCCGGCGTCAAATTCGAAAAAATAAAACTTTCCAAGGGTTCTTTAGTGGGCTACACAGATTCGAATAACTTGACAGAACCTGACACACCAGATCCAGCGACCCAAAGCTAGAAAAAATGTCCAAGTTTGAGAGTTCGAACGACCGGCGATCCTTCAGGTTCCAATCTTTCAGATACACATCAACTTTCAGTGCTCTTCACTTGTGGCAAAAGTCAAACCGCTTGTCTGAATCGTGCTGCAACTTTTGCACAACTTGCAAAGTTGGCGAGTCAGCGTCTTGGAGAAGTAAAGTATGCCCAGCCCGAACCCGCCCCTTTTCCACCAGTGGCTCGGCTGGCTCTGTGAGCTCTGGCGAGTAACCCAAGAAGCCCCACCCCTCTCTCAGTTTCGTTTCCCCTCCACCACTTTCTTTCTCGAAATATTTTCCCCCCATTGTCTTCGAAACTTTTGCCTCCGTTTCACTCAAAACGACTCTCTCTCTCTCTCTCTCTCGCTTTCTGCACTATTCATGTGCTCTTCTTCTTCTGTTTCGGAGCCGGCCTGCTCGGGAGGGTAACCCAGGTGATTCGTGCCCGGCAACAATGGAAATGAGCCGTCGAGAGAGAGCACACGAACCGAATGGGGGGGGGGGGACACGGGCCAGAAAAGATGGATGAGCCTCATTCTCCTCATTTTGTCCTCTTCGCCTTTTTGTCGAGCCGCTTTTTAGTTGCAAACATGACATTCTTCCCCCAAAAAACGGACCCGCATTCGATGAAACAAGAAGCAAAACATTTTACGCCCGGTGGGGATCGAACCAAAACAGCTCTGATATTGATAGTGAATAGCTCCCCCACTGCGCCACTCGCGCCATTTCAGCGGGCAAGTCTTAGGGCATACAGGTAATCGGTTCTCGGCGCGTAGCGCCAGTTTCTCGATGTAAAGTAAAGTACCTTTCAAACTATACCGATGCGTACCTTCTTTCATGAGTATCATTTAGACACCCCAAACGCCCTAAATTTCAATTTTGGTCCCAATTGGTTCGCCGAGAGCCGAGAAAACTCGAGTTTTTCCAAATTTTGTTCTGCTCCAACTGGTATCACCTCCCGGCACCTTCCGCCTCACTTCTTCCGTCCATCTGTCGCCCCCATCTTCTCAATTTCCCGCTCAAACTTATCGAAAAGTGTACAGTAGGGTGTGCATTTCTCTCATTGAAAGGCTTCTTTCTCGCGAAGAAGGTTAAATACCCAAATGGCTTCTTTTCTTGTTGTTGTTGCTTGTAAGGCTTCTCGAGCACATTCGGTCACTTTCTGGCCCGCCCGCAAATGAGCAAAACCACAAAAAATGAAGTGTCTGCTCGCGGGATTGTGTTATCGCGCCAGACAGACGGTCAAGAGCTCTCTACCCACTTCATTCATTTCGCGCCCGTTCCTGGAGTTTCGCGACGGGTAATACGGTTTTTGCTCATTCTAGCCGAACGCATTTTTGTATGAAACTCGAGACCACTTTAGTACTTTTGAAAAAACTGAAAAAAAACTGAAGATTCTGTCTGTTCGACTCAAAAATTGGTCCTAATCAACATTGATCACTGTCGATCGGTACTGATTAGAAATGAGCGCATAACTCGAAAATGAAACGTTTTCGGGTAAAATTGTCAATAGAAACAATGTAGAGCTTGAAATTTCCAACAATTTGTCAGTTGACAACTTTTCAAACTAAACAATAGTTCTTGTGATAGAGGCCTTCAAAGAAATGTAACTTTTCGGTGACCGTACCAGAGTTGAGCGAGGAAGAACTCAACTGAAGAACACGGAAGAATTTTTATCTTTTTTAGAAAATTTTTTCATGAAATGTGATCAACTGACGAAATGTAGAGCAAAATGAACTGTGCTCATAGAAAAATAATTGTAAATTTAGCTTTTCATACAAAAAAGTTATTCCTTCCGTCTTCCCCGTTAACCCTTTTTTCACGCAACAACTCGAATAACTTTTTTGTATGAAACGCTAAATTTACAATTATTTTTCTATGAGCACAGTTCATTTTGCTATACATTTCGTCAGTTGATCACATTTCATGAAAAAATTTTCTAAAAAAGATAAAAAATTGTTCCGTGTTCTTCAGCTGAGTTCTTCCGCGCTCAACTCGGCTGACCGTACCCAGTACCTGCGCCTTCTTCAACTCTCTTTTCTTCTTTTCCCTCTCTTTTTCTTCCGTCTCACCCTAATCCTTCCATAATTTTGTTCCCTTTTGACCTCTTCTGTCGCCTAATCCGCCTATCCACCATCCACCTTTTCCACGCGAAGAACACGAACCCAGAACCCTTTTCGTCGTTTCGATTCAACCGGAATTTTCTGTCGTGAAACTTATCCCAGATGACCTTATTTTCGTGTTGATTCCGTTCAAAGTGCGTTCTCTCTGATGACCTCCTCACAAATTAGTCGGAGCGCAAAAAAGTTGTGTTGCAAACTTTTTGAGATTCATTAGACCACCACTTCCTGTAACCTACATTTGTGAACCATGTGTTGGCTTGAACCAAAAAAAAATAGCACGAAACGAAAACTTTGTTTGTTTTTCCGAAAACCGATTAACTCGCCTGATTCCGTCCGTTTTACACATCAAACCATTGGTACCGCGCAATTAAAATATCTGATTTGCTCGCCCGCCCTCTCCGGCTTCTTCTTCTTCTTCTTCTCCTTCTTCTTCTTCTTCGATTCCTACTGCAAGTTTTTTGACGGATAGAGGGGTCTTTACACCTCCTAAATCACTTGAAAACCACCTGCACGACTATTGCCGTTTCCGCGAATAC